GTTAAGATGAATGAAGAGTGTTTCAAAATCTTGGAGAATACTTTCATAATAGGTTTGTAATAAGCTTGTCTTGTGGCTATTTCAGAGAGAAATTTCTGACCGTATTTCAACGCATTAAGATTCGTTTCTGCCCCACTATTCACCTAATCGCAGCTGTCGTGGGCATCACTACCACAGAAACTGGTAGTCTGCTCCATCGAGACTTATGCCTCCTAGTTAAGGAAAATGCTGTCTTGTGAACAGTTGATTCCGCTTCCGCACCAGAGCAATCACCTGAAAACCATGCCTGGTGACATTCTGCCACATATCAGAGAACGTTGCAGAAGTATTAGAAATCTGGTAGGCATTTTACCGAAGAACATGCAAATATATTCAGACGAGCAGCTGAGGGTCGAAGGTAAATGCTTACTGTGCAATACTACAAAAGAAAAGTTGAAAGCCGAATTTTGTGCCCACTTACACAGCTGCGTGATCGAATGGAAACAGAACTAATGCTCTACAGCAGAACAGCTAAACAATTTGTGAATATGATCAACCCGGCCATGCAAACAGATGAAAAACATATCTGACATCTGCCTGATGCGGTATCATGCATATGATGATAAATATTGGCGCCATTTGCTCAGAGGCGAATGTTTATTCGTATCAGTGCTGAACGGTGAAGTTTTGCTGAATCATGAACCCGAGCGATTTTCTACCTCGATAAGTAATCTTCAGCTGCGGTAGGACAGCGGCACATCAAAGGCTCGACGGCGTATAAGACGAAAGGGAGGTCATAAAAATGGACTGATAAATGATTCCCATGTAAATGAGGCTAAGATAATATTCGAAAGCTTGAGCTGGTCGCTTTGATTCAGAAAATGAACATGTTAAAATGTAAACTCATATTCTTTTTTCTGCAAATATTATCCTTATTTATGAATGGCGATGATTTTCGTTGTTAAACTCTTAAACTTCAAGTCTTTCAGGTTAACAAGCGACAATTATAATTTCACAGTTTTTCATCAGTATTATTCTGTCGTTAGCATTGCCAATTCATTCAAAATTAAAGGCCATCGAATCTCAAATTCTATTTGGCCCTCTCCCTGGCAAGTATCCCTGCAGATGTCACTCTTTTACAGTTCAGAATGAAGTTAACTTGAAATTAGCGATTGAAAGAGCTGAAGTCATATAACTTCTTCACTAGAATTTGCAGTGTGACTGAAGCATTATTTTT